TGTTGGCTACCTGTTGTGAACCAAATTGCCCCTTGGGGACATTAAAGACATTTCAATTCAATGCAGTTATACACAGCAATACTAAAGGACAAAATCCTGAAGATGATGGCACAACTGTTCGAATTCCTACAGCTGCAGACAGATACAATAATTCTACTGCCAATCAAGCTCAAATGGACACCAAGTTGCTTGCAGCTAGAACACACAGCCAGATGACCTTTGTCCATGAAAGAATCCATGAATAGTAGTATATACTTTTTTTTATTAAATAAAAGATGACCTAAAGTCTTTTCCACTGATGACCAGTAGTGACATTTAATCTGGTTGAACTGAATTATTATTTTTTTTTATTTGATCCAGTGCATTGAGCCCACGAGACAGAAACATGTTCTAATATTTCAACACTGTATTCAAGAGTGAATACATTTTTCTGGAACAAAAGCATGATGACAGGACAAGCGCAAAAGGAGACTAAAATGAAAAACTAGTCAAAGTCGTCTGACAGCTGCTCTGTTATACAATTTATGAACATTTTGAGAGAAAAAAAAAACACTTACCTTCCTTCCTCTACATTAATCTTAATTATGTAGAAAATGTGTCTTTGGCCCATACCTTCATATGATTGTTCAACTGTTCACAATAAGTAGCTTAAAAAGAAGTCTATGCTATGATTGTGCTACACTTGTCTACAATGCCATTCAACTGTGCAGTCTCAAAGGTCTGGGGATAAGGACGGATATCAGGCTATTGCTCCTTTTCCCTTCTTCTTCTTCCCTTAATTCCTACCCATTCTCCTAATGGAAGGTGTGTTCACCACGGACTATGTGAGAGGAGAACTCATAGCGGTCTTTGCTGCGGTGACCACAAATGTTGCACTCCAGTGGATCTCTGTATCCGTGGCAACCCATGTGGATGGTGTACATGACATGGTCCAGAAAAAGCACCCGACAGTGCTCGCATTGGAAGGCCCGCAACTCCTGGCCCTCTCGTCCGAAAACACGCACCCCTTCCTGGCTTACAGGCCTCTCTGTGGTCACTCGCATTATCCCAGTCCCCATTCCTGCCCCACTTCTGGGCGAAGCTTCTGTTACCCGTTCACCTGAGTAGACCACTGCTGGACTGGCTCGAGACCTGAGGCCGGGAGGGGGGTTGCTCCCATGGTAGCCCTGCCTTTCTTGAGGGCTGCTGCGAGCTGAGTCAGCAGAGTCAACTCCACTGTTGGTGGGAGATTCCTCATGCCCTTTCTGGGGTGGCTTGCCATGCCTGGTTAAGGCAGTGGGGCCATTTGTGGTGGGATGGTTGGGGAAGTCATGAGGCTGAGGTGGCAGCGTGTCCCCATTTCCTGGACGCTCTGTTCGTTGGCCTATTGGCAGGACATGGTGGTAGAGGGGGTTGACCATGGGCACCACATCAGCCATGGAGAGAGGGGGACCTGGATGATGGAGCATGGGCCGAAGGGTGTCCGATCCCAGGTATGTGATGGCATTGCTGATGGCCTGGTCCATCATGTGGGCCGGCATCAGTTCAGCCTGCTTCTCATACTTAAGGCCCATCTCATAGCCTATGTCAGGATAGTTGTAGCGTAACATCTTTTCACCTGCATGAAACATAGTAGCACTATGACTATGTGAAATTAATTGATTTAGCAAGATGACTGCAATTTTGAAATAATAATAATAGATGGAATAGCAAGAGGGCGAGACTTGCTTTTAGCTACAAACGAGAGAGAAAAACAATATGCACAAATACGAGATGGCTTGACTTCACAAATGTTCCTTTCTAGCCCGTCAAACTTATATCTTGCTGATATTTCAAGACTTGTTTTTCATATTTTGTACTTGATGTTGTGTGTGAACTTGTCTAATGGGGTGGAAAGCCCCATCCATCTACTGCACTGTTTAACCCCTCCAGAACAGGGATGCGGTGAGCTGTTTTCTCTCGATAAGAGCAATGGCAAATTTACAGGTGTACCTAACCACAGAGTGAAAAACATTTCCTTGCCTCACAGGCAACCGCTTGCTCTTGCTTGCTCAAACTCTTTTTCTAATAGTGTGGCAAATAAAACCAAATTCAAAAAAAAAATTCTGTGCTTATAAGAAGGGCAGGGCCATTGTGTGATATTATATAATATTGTATGATGCAACACTGAAAAGGAAAGGGAAAACGCGCACCCTAAGCAAGCACAAAACAATTAGGTATGTTAATAACTTATTTCCATTATATTAGCAAAAAATTCATATCAGTAGCAAAGTGTATTACATAATAACAATTTAACTAATGTATTCTAAGACTCCGCAGAGCAACTGTTAAGTCCAAATTAGTGTCTGCTTGAACAAGAAATACAATTATTTCACACGGATAACATAAATTTACATTTGTTCATTCTGCATGAGTTGGACTCAAGTTGAGGTAAAAACCATAATCAGCATAATGCAATTTGCATGGTAGGTATCAGCACACAGCACAACATAGCCAATCATTTTCAACCACCACCTCAACTTCAGATTTTGATAGAAATCAAATAGAGGAGTTGTAATCAGAGTAAATCATACTGTACACAGACACTCCACACTCATTACAGTAGAGCAAGTTGTTGACTGCCTGGCTATGTTTGAAAATACCCACCCACAAATTTCTGGGGCGTGGTGCTCTTTCTTTTGCCCACGTTGTTGTGCAGCCTCTCAATAACGGGCGGCCGATCAAACGTAGCCATGGTGTTGGCCTCTGCCATTGGCCTCGGCTCTGCAGGAACCTCACCTTGAAAGGTTGAGAAGGGAAGGCGGTTAGAAAGGGCAAGAATACACTTGGGTTTTGAATAGAGAGACTCCTGCACACTAAAAAGTAAATGTGGCATGTGAAAACAAAAAGTAAATCAGATTTTGCTATAAAATGTTTAAAAAAAATCAAAAAATCATGGCCTGAAATTAATCCATAACCTCAGTGTAGCTTGCACCCCATAAATCTCCCTAATCCCTTTGGAAAGGTTTGTTCCTCAGTTGTCTCTTAAGAATGAATACTTAACTGCTGAATTCTGCAATCATACATACATTACACTTACATGGAGTAAATAACAAAAAAAAAAAAATAGTCAGAAAACATTCTGTACAGTATTAATGTACTAGTGTATACTTTATATCAATCTTTTTCAAATTTGACTCCTCATTTAAAGATCCTTAAAGATTCCTACCATACTGGATCAATTGTATTAATTCCAATGAATTCATAAGTAAACGTGTACATGGTAATACATCTCCTGTGAGATCCAACTTTTCTACTGAATTTTAGTGTGCTGTATTACTGTTTCCGTTACACATAACGGCACCTTCTTTTTCATGGTTTCGGTTTTAGTAAAACTATTTACCTGTGTAAGGGCCAGTGTTGGTGGTCGGATCCAAGCCGATACCCTGCAGGTAACTGTGGCAGCGTTCTTTGTGTTCCTCTAGAGAAGTTCGCTGTTTGTAGCTCCGACCACAGTAGTTACACTTGTGTGGTTTGCCAACTAAAAGTGAAGACATTTGAGGGAGAGAATATTAACTTCATTCACTGCTCTGCAGACAGAGAGAGTGGGTAGCCTCCTATGAGATAATACAACCTGCTGCAATGTTAAGGCAGTGTGTAATAGTAAATACTGTGAACAGTGAGTAGTACAAACAAACCAGCCTCTGAGATCATGGATGTTCCACTACTAGTGTGAGGATTCCATACAACTGCTGCCAGACAGAAACACAAGCTGTGGGCTCTGCCTTTCAAAACGCTTTGGTCTCTGAAACATACAGCAAACTCCCACTGCTATGAGTGAATAACGGAGTTGATCATGCATCCCATGGTGGCGGTAGGAAACAAACTCCAGTGTTAAACTGCTATGGAGGTGGAGTGTGATTCATAGTGCCATTTCTATTTTATTTAATTCCTTCCTACCAAGACGAGTGGAAAGATGAAGACATATCCTTTACATCTGTCTCAGTCAAGCCACCAGCCCATCTAACCTTCCATCCATTCAACAACATCACCTAATCAAAGTGACATTGTGTCAAAATTACATTTTTATCCACCAGGAAGGAATTTAGTTGACCAGTAATTCAAGAATTTTAGAAATACAGCACAGACTATAGTAGATATATGCCAACAGTTATTAAGGTCACATGTGTCACCACCTTTGTATAATGGAACTACGTGAGCTGTTTTCCATATTGAGGTTAAAGTTAAATTAAAATGTGTAAAAGATTATAATATAAAGTGAAAGTCCTACACAGGCAGACACTGCTGAGGAAATAGGTCTGTGTCCTGTGACAGAGTATTCTCAAAACTAATGTAATGACTCATAAAGGGACTCGGTGAGTGAACTGGAGGCCACACCAGCGCAGCGATGTGACCCAGACACCATCATTAGCAATGCAATGTAGTAAGCCATTCACTGGCATAATGGTGACAGCTATTACTAGAAGATGTGCTCTTGTCACTGTGAGAACAGAGAAACCAAGCACGTTTCAGTCTGAAACGTGCTTGGTTATAACGCACATACACACACACACATTAGAGGTAGGTGATAGTTCACACGTGAACATAAGCACTCTTTCTCCCACAGAAAAGGATGTTGCATTTCTTTTTTTAAAGCACTAAATATGTTCAACAAGAAGGCAAGTTACTCAGAACTAGATATTTCTTTATCTGTAAATGTTACTTTTTCTTCCCTAGACTACTTCTATGATTTGTGTGAGTGAAATAAAACTCCACTTGTTACAGAATGACATGGCCAATCTTGCATCAGAAGGCACTTAGTGAATCATGTGGAATGATAACAGGTTTTTTGCTTTATCTGTCATTCAGTACTCTTGTGGTCTATGAATGACATTGTATTGGCAGAACTCGAAACTATGGTTCATTATCATTTTTTTCTGAGTATGAACAGATACAAAAAGCGGAGGCTAATAACAAAAGGTTTCAGTATTATTAAGTGTGGTGGGTAGGTGTGCCTGCAGGGTCATTGCAGTAATATTCATTCTGGGTAGTAAAAGAGTAACTTCTAAATGAAACGTCATCATGGAAATAAGTTTTTATTTTCTGCTTTCCAGCCTGAAAGTAAAACAGTGGAGTAAGCAGTACTCAATCAAGTACCGCCGTACTGCCTCGTTCTTAGTGGCTCACATCGACACCCTCTCTCTCACACTCACACACAACATAGGCTTCATTACTTTTTCATATTTATATAACCACCCACACATACAACCTTGTGCAGATGTTGGATGGACCTGAAAAATCCACCTTTCAGCCGCTATTCTTATTCATGTAAATGATCCACACTGTGCACTCAGACTCACTTGACTGATTGCATTTGGCTAATAAACGGGAACTTGCTCAAATTTAAATCTTCTGTCTTACAAAATGTAAAATCCTTTACCTATCTAGCATTGCCTTTCCTGCATTATCCTTCCACCAAACTGTGCCTCAACTGGTAATTATAACATTTTACCTGAACTTTCAACACACTTTTGTTTCTTCACTTTTTACTATTTCTCACTCTTGTCTTGTATTTTTACTTGCCTGACCTCTCTTTCAATGTCATATTTCCCTATTTTGGCTACACCTGTTCTTCCTGGCCAGGCACCAGGCCAAAGCTACCAGGTCTGCAGCACCCAGAAGTCTCTGTATGTAAAAAAACATCATGACAGCAGAACTTGGCAACATCCAATTCCTCACATTTCGCGCTGAATAACCAGAGGAAGGCAGGTGTAACTTACTACTCATGATTTTATGGGGGAAAATGGTTGGGGGATGTGACAAACAAATACAACTGAACAATAAAGGAAGTGAAAGAAGGAAAAGGGTCATGGCTGATGGTGGAAGACAGATGTGGAGAAATAGATAAGTAAAAAATGCATCTCTGAAGACAGATGACAGACATGCAAACACACAAAAATTTTACAAATACACACTGACGCACACCCAAACACACACGTTACCTCTACCTAAAAAGATAACTGTGTATGAGTAACCCCAGTGGGGGCATCACAGGCAGAAATGACGGTATTGTCTGACCTTGATTTCAAAGCCGCAAAAGAGGGGCGAGCACATCCTCTCTGATAGGAAAGTGGGTTACAGTTGAGAGACAAAGCCAGCACTCCCCATGTGATTCTCAACAGACAAATAGTTTCCTCCTCAGTGATTCAAGCAACTAAGGAACAGCATGTCCTTGGTACCTAACCACAAAGCACTCACAGGGCTGTCTATAACACTCACATAAAAAAACACCATTATGTCTATCCAACAACAATAGGAGACTAGGAGATTTCACCAACCAGCATGTGTGGCTACTGTATCTACTGTATTTTGTTCATAGCGTTACATTAAAGATAAAGCTTCATGAGAAAAAAAGATCACAGGAGAACATTTAAGAGGTATAAACCCTGTAGAATTACACTTATAACAAATACCGGCATGGTTTAATCCTTCCGATATATAAATGTATACACACATTTTTACGTATTAAAGACTAGGGTGATTAAACACAGCAGTAGAAGAGAGTGTGGGGAAAATAATAGCAGAGTCTGTGTCAAACATCTCTGAAAATACATATAGTCAAGTGTAGCAAAGCATTAAAGCATTATGGGTTAATTTTTTTCCAGATCTCTAAAGTACTTCTGATGAAAGAAATGAAGTCTCTTCTGGGTAACAGAGGTGGATGAGTAAAAAGGGAAGAGAAGAGGGTGAGGAGGAGTCTTACCAGCATGAGTGCGCAAATGACCGGTGAGGGCATCGCGCCGCCGGCAGGCATAGCTGCAAAAGGGGCATTTGAAGGGTTTTTCACCAGTGTGCAGCTTGATGTGTCGCAGAAGGTTTCCCTTCTGGGTGAACGAGACACCACACTGGTTGCACTGGAACGGCCGATCACCTGATAGAGGCAGGCACAGGAAGTCAATACCACACTCATTGTGGAAGATGTTTTTAGAAAGTATCAAGAACCTTGCAGACATTTTTTTTTTGTCCCCAACTGAACTCATTTACTCTTTGTTTCATAACTGTCAGGTGACTTTGTAGGAGCTGCTAAGCACTCGTAGTTGCTTTATATTTTAGAATCAAATCAAATCCATCAAATTTTTCTCACACGACATATGACTCCTTGAACTACCTTTCGCAGATGACTACTCATGACAGTCAAGAAACAAAACTACTATTCAACCTAATCTCTAATTACAATAATGAATAATATAACAGTTTGGAAATTGAAACATTATTGCATCATCTCAGGTATAGTAGTTATGTATGCCAGCATTCAGAAATGAATTGGACTAAAGTAAAATAAAGTGAACTGCACTGTATGGATTTAAATAAAATTAAAAATAATATTAATCTAAATTCACTTCACTTTTACAGTGTTAAATTAAATTAAACTGCTATTACTCTAACTAAACTGAACTGATTCTAACTGAATGAACTCAAACTCAAACTAGATATAATTGAACTCCATCTTCCCCCCATGTGTGCATTAGTGGTAATTAAGAACTAAACCACAATTCTCACTGAAAAAGGCCTGCATTTACTTCCACAGACAATGCAGTATTTTCCAGATTAATGAATGGGAGCGTGCGTGAGTGGACTATAATGTGGAATGATGCTGTTCAGTACATTTCTGATCTTACAGGGACTCGTAACTACTGTCTTCTGTTCTAATGGAAAATCTTTTCATCTGCAGCCAATTGGAAAAGAGAAATATGATCCTAATGCTGTGACAACCAGAGCAGTCATGGCGTCAATTGGAACAGGTTGTGGGGGATTCCAAGGATATTTTTCCCTGATAATAATTCCAAGTCTAAGCTATTGTCTTTAAACAAAACACACACAAAAAAACAGAAAGCACTCCACACCCACTGTCGAGGAAAACAAATGATTTCTGACTCACTCTAAAGAATGGGAATGTACACACCGCCCTGATTTCATTAGATAAATATATTTTTTTAATTAATAATGAGAAAAAGAGGTTCCACAAACAAGTGTGACAATTATACCAGACAGCTTCTTTAAACCATTACAGGCTTTTAATGGCATTTGGAAATATATTCATCGGTACCGTTTGGTTGTCGACTTCCTGCATCAGCTGTCAAATTTGGTCCAGATAAACCATCCTGTACATTGTTTGGGCAGCCAGTCATGGATTCCTCCAATGCTACTTCTTCCTCCCCTGTTTGGCCTATTTCTTCAAGTGCTGGACTTCTGTTGTCAGCCTCCTCCGCTGTTTCTTCCTCTTGCTTTATTGTCAGTTCTGTAAAACAAAAACAACAGCAATCCTGAGATGCACTTCTTACTGTGTCACATTCACATAATGCAGGTTTTATGGGAGTGCCCTAAACATAATTGTACCATGAAAGCGCTCTCTACAGCAACTATGCCTAGGGTAGCCTTGAGATTGAAGACTTGGTCAAGCATGAAGAGATTAAAGTGTGTGGCCTGTGTAGAACAGAGTGAAACTGTGAAGGCCTGAGATGAACTGTGTTGGCTGGAACTATAATGGGTTGATCTGCAATGGACTTAGGTTGACTTAAGTGGAATAGCTGTGCGAAATAATATATAATTAAAAAAAAATTATTTAATGGCCATGTGGATGGAGAATCCTAGTAACTTAGCAACTCAACTCGAAGACAACATTAGGATGAACACATTGACAAGAGAGAGGGAGAGGGAGGGAGAGAGACAGAAAGACAGAGAAACAGGCTGGTCTGGTTCCTGGCTGTCCCTGTGGAGAAAGGGAGTGTCAGAGGCCCTGTAGCTTACACCTGACAAGTAATGGGAGATTGGCTGGATGACAAGGGCAAAAGATTGTATAATTGTGTGTGTGTGCGTGTGTGTGTCAAACAATCAAACTGTCCATTTTACAAAAGGCCCGCTGTTATCAGACAGAACGTATTATGTGATATTTACAGTTTCTTGTGCTTGGCTTGTTTAGTCTATTGAATTGGGCTTTTTCATATAGCCATCTAGGACAAACTTGTCAGGGTAAACTTTTGACTTTGTCTTCTCACAAAAGCTATGACACATGATTCCAAGGGGTCATACTAGGTAATGAGCCTGTAAATGGGAAAATCTTACAATTAAAGTCTTGTTAATGGGTTAAAATGGATACAGGGGGGTTTAGACATAGTATGGAAATGTCTGGACACTATTCAAGCAAAACTTACTGATCCTGATGATCCTGTTTTGGGATTTACTGGGGCAGTAATCACAGTGTGAGCATATGTGGTTGTTTTACTAAAGCCTCCCATCTGACTGCATCCATCAACTTGTCCCCTCAGGCTTTGGAACTGCAACCACTTAATTCTCAGAGGCTAGTACACAAAATTTTGAAATTCAGGCAACATTTATAATATGAGAGAAATCTTCACAAAGCAACTGCATTCTTTAAACTGATACTGTATGTTTCCAGTGTCACAGTTTGTACAGAAGAAACCCTTATCCCAATACCCACGTTGCGATTGAGCCTTATCTTCGACAGCTGTATCCTGGCAACACGGAGCAGACCTGAATGTCCTTGCTATTCAGCTCCTTGCATCTTTACATCTGTCTCTCCAGTGTGGCAGAGTGGAATGCACAGAGTGGTCCGATGAGGATACACTTTTGATACACGGTTGCAATGACAAAAGCAGCAATGAAAATCAGCAGTGCGGTAGAGCCTGCAAGTTTCCCATAATGGATTGAAAATCAGGCGGAAAGATCACAATGGACTCAGATCGGTTGCCTGTAAGCAACACATCATTATAAAGAGGACATTCTGTCACTCTTAATATCCAAACTGTCACCTTGTGCAAAGGGTTCAATTCTACTCTCTACTGTACAGTTTGTGTTTCAGTTTTTAATTTAAGAATTTGGCAATGAAACTTGAGAGCACTTCATGCCTTTGTTCAACGGGTGATGTGATGCAGCCCTTCTTTTGTAACAAAACCTCAAATAGCAAATGTTAGGCAACTTCCAGAATGACAACAGCTCTTTTCGGTGAAGAGTATCTCCCTGTGAAAACCATCGCCCAGCACGCCTCCCTGTATCTCTAAACTTGTGGGAAACAAGCTTCCCTTTTTCTCACTTAGCTGCCTTGTCTCACTTAGTTTCCCCTTTTCTTTGCTGCTTCACAGTGACATCGCAAGAGCTAATCTGAGGCATCAGGTCAATAGACTGAAAGGAACCAAGCAACACTTCTGTCTAAGTGCAATATAGCACAACAAGTGTGATATGGTAGAAGTTGCAATATGGCATTTTTATACAAAAGCTCTTATTGTGGTAACTACCGCTACTCACTTTAACTTAAGTGTTCATCCTTAGATATCTTATTAAAGTCCTCCTCCACTCCACAAATCTGTTATTCTTCTTGTTCCTACAGTTGTATGTTTGAGCTCCACTGTGCATAATGATGTATTCGCAGAGTTTGACACTAGAAGGATGTTTTTGTGAAATTAATGACGTGCTAATAAAAGATCTGATTTTAAGAGGTGGGTCTTCGAGCATTATCGGTGACATCACACATATTTTGACGTTTATCCTGGTCCAATATGGAACTAGAAGCCACAAGTGCACACACACTGAAAATGGACTTCACAGTGAAGACATCTTGTGTCAAGCAGGAAAACTTGGTGGACAAAATTAGCATATTAATTGATTGTGGAATTCTTAAATTATTTATTTAATACAGTGACTAGACTGCATTTCTAAAGTGATTTAATGCAAAGGGATTTGCAGTTGTCTCTTATTTACTCACACATGGTGGCAAGTTACTATGCATGGAGCCAGCCTAACCATCAGGAGCATCCGTTTTCTGATCTCCTCACATTTGCCTTGTTAATTTGCTGGTGCAAAGAATCCAAACATCCTCCACCTACCTTCTAATTGCTCTAATTGCAGAAAGTGCTGATTTGAATGAACTGATCTGAACATATTGGTTTAAAGGAGAAACTGTGTGCGTATTTGTACACTGTAGTTGTTCTTGGCATACTGTAGAAATGTGTATCTCTTGATTGAGCACTCACCACTGGAATTAGGACCCTGAGGAACTGTCTGTCCATTAGGTGTTGACATATCCGCCAACATTCTCGAGTTCTCCTCACCAGGAGAGCATTGGCCGTTACCTGGGAGACAAACAGAAACACAGCAATCTTCATTGTGCTGTACAATACAGTAGTTGAATAACAAATACAATACAATGCGGTTATGCGGTTATCATTTTTTTTTTTTTTTTTTATGTGTATACTATGTAATGATTAGGGCTCATGCATCTGTTTCAAAAGAAGAAGATAATGCTGGATGAAGAAACAGATAAAATGTGGTCAAGCAGAAAATTCTTAAAGTTTGTCTATTCACTTTAATACAAATGAAGAGAGTGAAAATAAATAAAGTAAATCAAATTTCTAGTTAAGCAAAAATAATAAACAGTAGCCTTGTGTAAGGTCATTCCTTCTAAGATTAAAAATTATTCATTTCATCCTCTCAGATCTCCTTTTAGGCCTAACCCTGAACGGTCACTATGGAGGTCACCATACTGAATGCAGACGGCAACTAAACTGTCTTTATGCACCTATGGGATCCTAAAGTCCAGCAAATACGGATCAGATTGCAACCTCTCAGCAGTCTGTACAGAACCCAGGCTATGGATAGCCCTGTGTCCACTCAGAGGGAGAGCAAACCAATCCCTTATCCCCTTACACTCCGGCCCTGTCAGGGTCACTAGAACAATACAGTGGCAACAGGCAAACACCCCTGCTGACCCAGGTGTCAGATCCCTTAGGAACCACAGTGAGCCATCATTCACCACCAGCACAATTAAAGGTTTTCCTCAAGCATACTGACAACTGCGAAAAAATTTAAAGTATCTATTGTAACACCACACTGCCTAATGCTGTTAAAGTTGATGTAGCAATAGCTGTAGCCGAGGAACGTTCAGTAAAAATCAAAGGAACGTGCTATGTGGTACATCTGAAACCGCTACAAGGAAGGCCTTGTTACAATTTGTCAGTGCTGAACATGTCTGCAATGATCCCTCATACATGAAAAGGAAATCTGTGTCAGATCTCGTCTTGCTGTGACAGCTCCTCTTAGTTTGACAACCTCTTCTGTGGTATTGTTCTATTGTAGTGGCGGGCCCAACTGAGTGGGGCATACTGGCAGACGTTGTCCATGACACAATCCCTGGGCCTGGGCTCGGGTTGCACAGGTTGGGGTTGGAGGAAATCTCAGGTGACCAACGCTGGCTATCCCTTGGCAATGCTGTCCTGGAGACAGGAGTGGCCCAGATTTGTCATGAAGGATTTTCCATGACTGTAGCAGACACTGACAGCTGCCTAACAGCACTATGGCTAGGTTGTGTCGAGCATAAACTAATAGTTTTGGGCTGTCTGGGTTCAAATTCTAAAATAAGAACCATCCATTACAGATTTTAACATAGTGTCATTGTTAGAATGAAAGCATAGAGACTTTTATTCAAAAGCTATCAAATGTGTTCATGATTTATGAATAATGCTGTCAATATGGTCTCTTTTTCAATTAATGAATTATTTCAAATACAGACTTTTGTCATCAAAGGTCAAGTGTCCTGGGCCCTCATTTGTAAACAGTGCATACAGTGGTTTTCACTCACATGGTGGGATGTAAAAAATTTAATATGACGTGAGAATATGCGTGCCATGGTGCAAACTCTTGTCTGGCTCGGTAACTTCGCAACTTCTAACTTCAAAGAGTGGAAACTTGCCAGATGTTTCTAAATAAAGTTTCCACTAAAGTTACTGTGATATGAGATATGTCCACTGATAAACCATGATAGTGTGATCATTTCTGTAGATGACCAAAACCAAAACAGGAAGAAAATGCTATTTTCCCAACAGTAATAAATTGTCCTAACATTTAATGATTTAAAAAAATCCATGTAGGAAATAGGTACAGGCACCCTCTATATCACTCCCCAGTTAATTTCCCACAAATAACATGCCTCACTCACTGCGCTAACATCAAGATCAGCAGGGAAAATGGCATTTTTCTGTGTACAAGGGACATATAGATGTTATTGTATGTCTGAGATTGTACAGTAGCTGAGATGCACGATGCCGACATCCATGACACGCGGGAGGTGAGGCGCACAGATCCATCACACCAGGAAGAAAATGCTGTGCCTGTCACTCCCAAACATGGTGTGCCTCTGCCACAGGAGCTTTGGATGGATGAACCCAACCCTTTGGCCCACCAAAGCCAAGTGCAACAGCTGTACAGCTAGGAGTAACATACATGTCTGAGTTGCCTCTACATGCGGGCAGGATGCCAGAGACGAGGTCTTCTAATTGCAGCGACCCTTTCTTAATGTGGCGACCGCTCTTATTCTCTGTTGCAGGCAAGGCAGCATAAGGGGCTTGTTCATGTGTTTTTTCATGTTGACAGGGACGTATAAAGGAAAGGTGCACAGGACCTGATGCATGCCTGGTTTTATCCATGTGGATCTTTCTTTCTTTTCTTTTTTTTTTTTAAGTATTTTTTGGGGCTTTTATGATAGTGACAGCTGAAGACAGACAGAAAAGGGGGGCAGAGAGAGGGGATTGCAAAGAGCCGCAGGTCGGATTAGAACCCTGGGCCGCAGCAGCAAGGACTCAGCCTCAGTACATGGGTCACCAGCTCTACCCAGTGAGCTAACCTGAATATGCTATCTTTCAGTATGAAATGTATACTGTATACATGAAAGTCTTGTATACATGAGGTCCCTGGTTTTTAAACAATTAAATCAAAGGAAGAAGTCAAAGTTATATTATGTCCAACTGTCAAATACAACCACAGAGGTAGTTTGCATTTCCACACACACCTTTTGGAATGGGACCTCAAACTTTTAACTTGGGAAACAATGGCCGATACATTATGAACTTGAGCACAGTTTAAAATGTACTAAACCACACACACAAGCATGGGCTAAACTGAAGGTTTTGCGTTGGTGCTCCGCATTTGCTGAGTCAATCCTGTATGAACAGTAAGATCAGGATATCAAACAGTTGAGACTTGCCAGGGGAAAGGTATTTTGAGTAATACACCAAATTGGGATAATTTAATGTGCTGACAAATGGAAAGGAACAAATGTGTACACACGAAACTAGTAGGTGTAATAAATGCTGACTTTATCAGTGACGCCAAACGAATGCGTAGCTTCTGAAGTACAGTCATCCTCTGAGGAATGTAACAAGGGTCATTGCAATTTCTGGTCTTACAAGTTATTCATAAGAGATTAATTATAAATGGTAATTAGATTCATGAACAGTATGCAATGACAATAAACCAAAAATAAATCAAGGTCATACACCATCTGCCCACTCGTGACGGCAGACACGAATCAGACGAACAAAATGTCTGCATCTTAACAGACAGCACCTATGTCTAACTTTTTGAGGAACTGAATAAGATTCTTTACCGGAGTGACGAGGCCCTCCTTTCTGGCTTTCTGGATACACACTGTAGCTGTAGCTGGGAGCTGGTTTTTCCTGTCAAACCCTGAACCCTTCCTAAGACTCATATCACATAGACACACAACACTGTCCCAGAAAGCAAAAATATACAGATAGACAAATGACAGCAGTCATTTAGAGACGTATAAAAACTATAAGACATTGTATTGTACTAGTAGTAGTGATATACAGTATACAACTCTCAAGTCTACTTCTACTCCTAGACAGCTGTTAACCAAACCAAATCCATAGAGTGCACTGGTGCGTTCCATTTGCAGTAATCTATATAGGTGTGTGTTGGGCTGACCCAGAGTAACCTGTTGCAGTCTACCTCTGCAGAGAATGAATAATTGATAACATAAGGAAATAGAATTTCTTAAATAAGCTGAGAAAGTGAGTACTGTAAATGAGGCAATTTACAGGGTATAATTCTGATTATTTAAAATAATACTGGACCCAGCTTTTAGCACGGTAGTAGTTGAGCATGTGTGACTTACAACCGGAAGGTGATAAAGAGAAGTTGGAATACCCCAGTTAAACCTTTAAGCATATCAAATATTGTTTAAGGTTATCAACTTAAAAGCTCTAAATGGGACCATCAGGATTCAAGAGCGTAAAGTACACCTTGTTATGTCAGTTAGTAAAACTAGCTTAGCTTAAATGAATAAAATGTATAGCTGACAAAAAAACATTGTTTAGGGATTGTATATCTGCCAGACAAGCTTACACTTCTGAATGTCAGGACAGTTATTTTGAATTTATTTTAATTTTTTGACATTTCGCTTTATTTGACAATAACAGTAAAGAAAGACAGGATATGGAGGGAATGACATGCCGCAAATGGCTCAGGCCAGTGTGGTAAGGACTTGATACTTATACTTGGTACACATTCTACATAGTGAGTTACTGGGGCACCCACAATAATATTCACTATTGTAATATCTTACTGAATTTGTTTGATGTTAAATTATTTATTTCTACATCATACTTGTATATGTTCCCGTTATAGAATACTATATTGTATAGTAATGTTGTTGTACTGTATAGTATATGTTGTATAGTGTATGTAGTGTAGTAATTCAATGTAAACCATTTGCTGTTACTTTTTCTTATTCTTGCATTGTAAACCGTGTGCAACCTGCTTTGGCAAAACTGTACTTAATTATGGTCATAACAATAAGGCAGATTTTAATTTAAAGTTTGAGAAACCTGGGAGGACCAACCACATGGAGCAACTATGTGCAATGTACAACCTGTGCAAATTACTGGTACTCCAACAGCCACATTAAAGTCATTTGCAAGCTGGAATCTGCACAACTTCATCTATTTTTATTCTTTTCATATAGAGGCAAGATAAGTTTGTAATTATACACAGTAGATGTTTGATACTTTGTTGGCCACCAATGATGGGATGGGAATGAGAAACAACTATTTTGTTTAAAACAGAGTGGTGTATGTGAGTGAGCTTGAAAATGTTTAATGTCTGAAAAAGTAAGAAATTACGCATTAAAGAAGAGAAGCATGTGCAAGTTACTATCATGATGTATCTATGAGACAATGAGCATGTGAGACAGAATGACTGTATGTGAAAGAGACTAAAGTGCATGTGAGAGAGAGGGATAAAGAGAATGATTGCATATGTGATACATTTTGATGGTGTATGTGAAAGCAACGTGCTGTGTGAAAAAGTAAGTATGATAACCGATGGGAGAAAGACCGACTGTGACAATGACAGCGAATGTGGTTAAGAATAATAGTGTGAGAGGAGTGTTTATGTGAAAAGGGAGGTTGGTTGATTACACAGGAAGGAAGCTTAAATTCTTGATTCATGATTATTGAACCTTTTTGAAAACAAAGCTTGTACCTACCAGTGGCACTGCTATGCAAGGAGCACTCACATCTAGCCACAGTGCATTTAAAGACACCGTGTTTTGTTAGTGCAATAACAAGCTTGCTCTGGTGTGTCAGAAATTTTTGCTTCCTTTCTTCTTTACGTGTATGTTCTATAGAACGCTGTAAGCCAATCTGGAATTGAAACCACTAATATTGTCAATCACATTCCATTATATACACTGTCAGCGTTTATGTCTCATACTACTATTCTGAGTCACAGATATCATTATCCTTTCTTACATAATAGACAATAATACTATATATATATATATGAATTACAAAAGTGCACACAACTCTTCTTATTCAAATGTTTTTCCGCCCTATGTGTGGGACACCCAATTTTCACCCTGCTTCACTGGTGCGAGTTTGACCGCTGGATTTGTTTTTTCAGTTTTATTTATTCCAAATAGCCCATGTAGCAACTCCCCAGACATAAGCTGTAAGCTAGCTAGAAATGTATTTATTGAGCATGTGTGTAGTGTGCTTGGTGTGCTTGGTGTGGCTGTATGTGTGGCAGGACACAGCCTCAGCTTCTGCCTGGTCTCTAGCTTACCAGGATCGCCAGTTCATTCTGTTAATGTCCTCCAGACCCATCTGCTATTTGTGTTTCTGTATATTTAGGAGAGGAGATATGTATGTACATATGTATATACATAGCTAGGTTGCAAATATAGAACACCTGCATCTAGACAACAGGAAGATAAAGTAACACACATGAAGCACATTATTGACTACTCCCTGATATATATTGATGGCTGAATATGACTTGAGTTAGTTTGTTAGTTATTATTATTATTATTCTATCATATTTGTGTTATATATTAATATTATTTGTTTTATTTATGTATAGTTACACAAACTAGAAACCTTAGTCAAAGTCTTTTGGACAATGTTACATTCAAGATAAAAAACCATCATGCTAGCTTAAACAAGTCTCGTGGCAGAGCTACAACTTTGTAATCAAATGATAATATGAATCAGAGAGATGTTTCAACATAGTTGTAGTCAACTGAAATTATTTGGTTTTGTTGGTAATCAGTTTCCCGTCATGTACATTGAACCTGTTGAACTCATGTGTCATAATAACTTGACAAGAAAGGGTTCGATTTGCTGGACTATAACTTGTTGTCAGGGGAAATCGACCAAATGGTACAAATTATCACAAGCCATCCAAAGCAGATTCTACTCACCTGTTCAAATAAAATGCTTAAAAAAACGGCAAAAAAACCTAGCAACACTGCTCATAAAGCCTTGAATAAGCACAACATCTTGACTCAGTTTGAAATAATTTCAGCTTATACGCATTTTGCCACCATTTGTCCTTCCAAAGTAGAATTGGACCCCACTCACGTCTTAAATGTGTCTTTATGCATCTCTAAAATTTCCTTCCAGTTCAGTTTGAACAAACTTTTAAATTCTTTATCACATATAGAGAATATGTGATATATAATGTAAGGAATATACCATACCATATACTATTTTTTTTTAAACATATACTGTCATGGGTGAGTAAAATATGATTATGGGAGCTTCATGAAAGAGAGACTACTACTGTGTGTACATAAGAGTATATTTGTGTCTTGTATGGTGAGTAGAAGAATATGTTTAGGATTTAGTGGTGGTGTATGTGCAAGATTTGATGATGATGATAACAATACGTACGATATTTGACCAAAATGTTCTCTCATCGTCAGCAGTCTCTTGTCAATGTATTAAGTATACAGTAAAATACATGGGAGTAATGTGGATGCAAACTGTTGCATTCCACAAACATGTGTGTTCTCCGCAGATTCATGCAAACGGAACAGACCATTATTTGTTCCAAAACTTCATTGCAAAATCATTTCAGAAACGACCCACAGACGGACATGAGCCTCCATTTCTTATTCCGCCACGAACCCTACCCCGCCTGCCAAGTGTTCCTACAAGCACAAACCCCCAATGGAGACCTAAAATCTCCACTGATGTCATAAACAACATGGTACCTGTTTTCTGATCTGTACATCAAAGTGAAATACAAGGCGGGCAGGGAAGATATTCAAGAGACCTGCCCAAACGAAACCAGCAAAGGGCAATGGAGCACCACAAAGTGCATATCCAGTATCTGCTGCATTCAACAGGATGTCACTAATGCATCGTTTTCTCTACCTTTAAGGGGTGAACAGGAAAAAGGCTGCATTAGGGGAAAATCCCTTGAAATGTTTATAGTGTGCTTGCAAAATCTTTTGTATTAGCATTGTTTAAAAAAGTTGGAGGAGAAATGAAAGTCAAAATAAGTTACTAACGGTAAAGTCACAATTACATAATAACACACAGACACAATCATTGTTGTCATTATCACCATCATCAGTCCAACCAAAGACAGACACAAACTCTCGATATACTGCATTAAACTCTGTCTTTGGGTGTAAAGTATGGGTCAGTGAGTGTTAGTGTGCATTGAATGTAGTGTGCAAACGATATAAGGACTTACTAGCACAGTAGCCATCGGGAGCCTCCATTTCAAGTGCTTTGGGAGTGCTTCAGGGAATAAAAAGAAATATTACTGTGACTTTAACATTACTGTAACACAAAGTTTTTTGCATAATGCATATATTTCTTTATTCTTAGTTTGCTTAACCAAATGTGTGTTTTTCAAAAGCTGTGCAGCCTTAGCTGTCATAAATAGCATGCAACAATGATATGCACCTTTAGAATAAACCTTGATCACAAATTCATACAAACACCATGAACCTGTAAACTACCGATTTTTTAAAAATCATTTAAACCCAAAGGCCGTTTAGCAGCTTTAGGGGCATAGTTTCCAGTTTACAGAGGTGCATCACAATAGAGACTCTGGTCTGTGCAGTTTTGTTATTACAGAAGTAGTCCGATATATTTAAGCAACCCTATGAGCTATTTAAAATGTGTGAACAGACATGTTTTAGTTTCATGTTCTCTATAAAAAATTTTTTTTGTCTAAATAGAAGTTAAATTATAGCTGGCATGGTCTCTCAAGTTTGTGCATTTTTACTTCCGTGAACTTGCACAAGTATGGTTTGTGTATATGAGACCCAACTCTTATTGAGACAGAAATGATGCGATTTATTATCTAGGCCATAGTTTTCCAATTCAAAACAGGCAAAAGAAAAGATATAAATGTACCCGTTCTCTACAGTAACAGAGTAATAGCTGTATGGCTTCAGAATCTAGAAAACGGGGGAAATTAAATCACTAAAGTCCAGTTACAACTTTGCTTTTCGTGCAATACTGGTACTAGACTGACAAAGCACGAGGCATTCAACTCACCTAAACTTCATACATCTAAACATTTATGGGCATGTCGATAATACAGTGTCTACAGCCTTCTTTAAACAAGTTGTAAGTTACTTATACGTTTTTATGAATTGCGAACTGACGTTTGGCTCCATCTTTATCCCTTGACCCATTGTTATCGTTGTGTAAAAGATTTGTAAAAGTCAACACACATAGAGGAAGTGTGTTATGATTATCATAATTTGGAATAGTAGTGCATCAGAGAGAACTGTATTAGAGATTATTAGTATTTATTTAAATAGTCAGAGCACACAACAAATGTGTGCAACGGATGTCTTCCTTAAAGAACATGAACTTTTTTTCATGTCATTAAAAGAAAAAGAAGAAAAACTTAAGTGTCATTGCAGAAACTTTTCTTTTGATTGTGTAACATCCACAAACTCAATGCAGAATGTCCCACATAATGCTGTAGTTTCTCTGCATTTAACTGTTTCCTAATAGTAGTTTGGGGTAGTATATAACAAAGATAATGGTAGTCTGACTCAGAGCCAGCTGCAATTTTTTTTCTTAATGGTATGAGTTCTTAATTTAGCCTCCCTCTGTAGCTGTATGCACTCTACAGTCATAGGCAGTTAGAGAGCCATTTATTTTAGATTCTGGTGGCTAAAATCAAAAGTGAAACGTGAAAGCAAAACAAGAAAGTAATAAATACATAAAAACTGGATTCATATAATTACCTTCAAGCGTCTCCCCTGTGCAAAAAGTGTTGGTAATTTCAGTCAAGCACGGAGGGAGGGGGTGATAAGTTGTCTCCACCTCCCTTTAAAGAAACAAAAGTCAAAATTACCTATTTCGTCCGGGGATCTCTCACAAATGTATGAAAGAGAAAACTTTTCCCAGCATGTTTCAATAACATTCCAGTGAAAGAAAGGTGAAAAACATATGAGCGAGTTCAGAAACGCTTCAGAAAAGTTTAGGAGGAGCGCGTTTACAGTGTCCTACAGGTGACTTTTGCTCTGCCAAAGCCTCTTCTGCGCGCGTCCCGTCGAGCTTTCCACTTTAGAAACGACCCCGACACCGTCCCATCGAGCCCTACGCGCACTTGATTCGAACTTGCGACATTTCACCAGAAGTCACACAACTAGTAGCTGAGACGTACACGGTGCAGTTTTTAGGAAGGTAGGAAGGTAGGAAGACAGAGAGAGGGGGGGGGGACTCAACAAGTTGGTAAAGGAAAGAAAGAGAGGGATGGATCAAACTGGATCCACCGGTTCCTAAGGAATTAGCCATAGCGGCAGGGAGCAGCCAAGCTATTTTCAACAACCAAGAGACTGGAAATCCGTGGGTTGGCAATGCTGAAAAGCTTCTATGGAAATGTGCCGGCACAGCCTCACGCGTTGTAGCTGCTACTGCGACCAATGGGAATAATGTGGTGGCAAATTAAACGGTGGATGAGCTGCTACATGACCACCATCCCTCCAAATGACAGCACAGCCAATAATATGACAAAAAAAAAAAATTGTCTCGTCAGAAATTTCCATTTATTTAATTATTTCCCCCTTTTTCTCAATGTATACGCCGCTTTTGACACTACTTCCTAGTATGTCTACAGGGGGACTTCAGGTAGCCGAATTAAACATTCATGTCAGCAGCAAAGAGATGGGAAAACTCTATTTTGCAGATGTACAGACAGGTTAAGCAGTGAGGACAGGATGCATTTACCTGGCAGGCAACAGTGCATCTCTAGAAACAACCATCAGCTGAGAAACCGGGAAGCCAGTTTTGTTGTTATTGTGGCAAAGCGCTGTGTTTCTCGTGTTTAGTGATTTTTTTTGTTTGTTTGTTTGTTTGTTTTTTTTTGCTGGTTGCGTTTGCCCCCAATGGCTTGGAGCTGACTGACAGCTGCAATTCAACAGGTTATCCGATCACCGCAGTCTACAGCAGAGCCCGTCTGGCTTTCCATTCATCAGACAGACGCTCCTTGTCTGCCTTTGCCGCAGACATGCGCCTCCAGCAGCTCTGAAAGCGTCTGTAGCCTACTGACAGTCGAATAACATTGAATGGCTGTACATCAAAGCAGCGACAGAACGGTCAGTTATTACAGGAAACCGATTCATGCACGTGTGTTTCTGTCGCTCTCTCTCTCTCTTTTTTTTAATTACCTTAAACACGTAGGAGTTTATATAATGCCATGAACTTGCACACTGATCCCGGCTGAATGTCTCGGCTTGGAAACGGCTTCATTCTAGTCCGACACGCGCCATGCAGCGCGGGCTGAAAGGTAGTTTGGTTCCGCAGCGGCAGCAGCAGCAAAAGCAACAGTTGTTCAATCCACCACTGACTTCCTCCTCCATCTCCAGAGCAGAGCAGCCGAGTTGCTATTCTGGGAAGTTGGTCTGACACAGAGAAACCGATCACAGAGTGTGGACCCAGTCTGCCTCTCCGCTCGGCAATCGATTAGGTTACAAAGGGGCCTATTATTCCTGAGGCTGCAGCCAGGTTAGATCCCCGTGGAGACTAGAGCATAACTGTCATACTCCTGAGGTATTCTGTTTATAGGACGTATAAAGGGACCATGTGCCTTTTGTTTTACACACCCTGCAGCTGTTGGATTACTAAAGTTAGGCAATATTACCAAAAAATAGCATTTTATTTTAAATTAATTGATCAATATTAATTATCCACTTGTATGCTATCATTTAGTCTGGTCAAGAATGCAAACTGCTCTTATATTGTGATAAGAGCCAGACCGATGCTGGATTTATGAGGCCAATATAAATGCCAATATTTGAGAGTTTAAACAAACATAGGCTTTTTAACATGAATTCATAACATAAACATTTTGTTAATGATCCATTCAGTTTTCATTTAACTGATTATTAAGCTATGGACTAAAAGGCCCATCTCTAGTGGACAACCTATGTCATGGCAACACTGTTTAAAAATGACTTTAAACATATCTTTTGCATTTCTCTAGGGCAATTTATTATTACTTTTCAGCCAATATATAATTGGAATCGGCTGGACTCTGAGTCTATAGGATGACGATAATGCTCAGCAGTGTTAGAATGGTGTGTATACAATGTAATACAGTTGAAAAAGAAGGTGCAGTCGTGATTGTGATGCTCATAAAAGGTCGCTGGAAGGCCCAATTGTAATATTAGCAGAAGGTTAACAGTAGCACATTCACAAAAGTAACTTTAATAGAACTCCAACAGTCGTTTCCTTCAGCCAGACCCATTGTGTACTTTCTAGTGCATTTTTGAGGCAGAACTGAGGCTGACATACAAAAAACAAACAAAAAGACCCTAAAAAGAGTCCCTATAAGCCGACTGCAGCTGCGTAGGGCCCTAGAGCCTTTAGGGGGGGCACAAACTCAGTGTTTTTGCGCACATGTAAATGTGGATTTGTGTTAACAATGTAGTGTAGGGTGTTTTTAAATGTAAAACCAAACCAAAAAGGGGTTGCAGGCACAGTTCACACTGACACACTGGTCCATGTGTTCCAGATTGGTTGGCCCACACCCTGCAATTAGAAACCTCAAACACCTCAAAGACAGTGCAGTTTTAACATACACACCAACGCAGTCTACACACCTGCAGAAATAAATGAATCAATACTAAGTGGTAGAGCTGTCCTGACTTCAGTGGGGAGTTCATTCCACGAGTAAAGCCAGGGCAGAGAGAAGCATTAACAGTTCAGACTGAACTCTTTGATGGTTTATGAACTCACAAGGTTTTTAACACAATTTTGGAAATTCTCCCTTTTTCCTAATATTCTAATATAAACACAATAATATAATTGTTTCCTTTATTTGCATAAAAAATTAATTAAAGGATAAAAAAAATGCTTGAATGGAAATGACTTCATTATAATGATAAGCAAAAGTCTGAGCTTGGTTGGTCCGAGGACACCATCTGAAATTTAAACATCTTTAGAGCTGTCAGTGTAGTTCATTTTTCTGATCTGAGAGTTAACACTATAGTAAAGTATGTCATTTAAAGGTCCAGTGTGTAACATTTAGGATGATCTATTGGCAGAAAGATTTGTTATTTACGTAGTTTATGTGCATTCATTTCATTTAATATCAGTCCTTTGTTCTTGTTTCTCTGTGTGGGCACACAGAGTGGACCAGGGGAGACACAGGGGAATAATGTTGTTGGTACACCACATCAGTCATAAAACTCAACTCCTGGTTTTGCTCCTGGGGCTCTTCACCACTGTTTCAGAAGAAGAAAATAATAAAAGTAACAGGTGAACCAGCTTTAAAAGGTCCAGCGTGTTTAATGGCATCTAGCGGTGAAGCTGCAGATTGCAAGTCTCTCGCTACACCCACCCCCTCCAAGTATGAAGGAGAAACTATGGTGGCCGCAATAAATGCGATAAACATGACAAGATGATTGTACACTAATGAAAACATAGTTATGCATATTACATTCCATTTCTACCAATAGAGCTTCCTAAATGTTACACACTGTACCTTTTATTTTTTAAATAAGTGCTGTACAGTGGATCTAATTTACGCCAATATAAAGAGTGGTCCATGTGAATTTTAAAAAGTAAAAAGTCTACACTGGCATGTAATCAAGAAAACTTTACAGTGTTATATTTGAGACTTAGTATGGTAGCAAAATGAATGTTTAACAGGGCAAGATGCAGACCTTTTCACTTTCACTCAGACAGAACTGGATCAGTACTCATATTAGCCTGTCCCAAGCCAAAGAGGAAAAAAAATGGCTTTCAAATAAGTCATGTACATGACAATTTGACACAAGACTGATGCCCTCTATGAGAAATGTGTTAAATGCCATCTTTTACGGTCTAAATGTAATTTTAATGGTCCAATTCTTGAATTGAAAATGCTCTTAACATTAATGAATCACTTGAATATACATTAACCTCTTCAATCATCTCTAGCAGTGGTTTCCAACCTGGGGGTTGAGACCCCGACTAGGGTTCACCAAAGCTTCACAGGCCTTCTTAATTTTAAAGGGGTGTAAGAAAATGTAAAAAATACACACAGTAAGTCCATATCTCAGCATTCACTTAATTCTGTGAAGAAAACTAAATTAATTAGACTTTTTAAAACATTGAAGACCTGAACACAAACTATATTCACAGCAGGGGTGTAAGAAAATATTGAAAATATCCTATTGTGATATTTTGTTCAGTCATACTGTATTGATTCTCAAAAACACTGTATCAATTTTTATATTTAAACCTCCAACCGCCAGATAAAAGTGTTAACTGTGTAAACTGGGGGCTATTACATTGGATGTTACAGGGACTGGGATGAATACAAATGCAGATCTCACTGCTCCTGTTGCATTAAAAAGTCAACGTTTTTTAACCAGATGTTATGCGTATGGGGGAGAGTTCTTTATTCGATTCAAGTTTTCCTAAAATTAGATTTAAATAAATAAAAAAATAAAAATCGTAACCTCTGTATTGTGATACGTATTGTATTGCCAGATCCTTGCCAATACACAGCCCTAATTCACAGAACCTTCACTTTCTGGTAAACAACCTAAACATAGTATGCAGTTAGAACAACCAAAGAGCAAACAATGAGAAGGAAATTCTGAATCTGTCGACACAGAAGGCTGTTAAGTATTTGTTAAAAAAATTGTGCTTGGTATTAAATTCACTGTACAGTTAATTATTATGCACAAACATACATATATATATAAATATCCATAAAATATGTCTCTTAGTCAGGGGTCATCAGTTTACTCAATGATAGAAAAGGGGTCCCGTAAGGAAAATGGATGGGAACCACTGATCTAGGCTATATAATGATATAACAAAAGAATAAAATTAGCAGCAGATTTTTGAACTAGCCTATAACGCTTACATCTAGAAAACACTTTTCCATTTAATTAAGTCACTCAATGCTTCAAACTGCCCAGCATCCAGACTAAAGGCTGTTTTTGTTCCATACAATGATCACTTTGTGAAACAATAATTACAGTGTTTAAATGTTTAGCACAGAATGGGTTTTGATCATTTTCCCTTCTTTCTTTTTTTATAATAAACACAGAAATTCCTACGGACCCCCTGCAATTATACCAAGTGACATGTCATTCAACACAATGCTCACCTCCTCCTTCAG